TAAAGCTTTGTCTGAATGGAGAACCTTTTTGCAAATGATGTGGTCCAGGACAGAATCGAACCTCTCATTCTCACTACTCCCTGACTCCTCGAGTCGCGCGACGTGTTATCCATTACACTAACGGTCCTTGTGCTCTACAAGCAATTGAACAACCACATACAAGTCACAACCAGACCACTCTTTGCTGCCTAGAGTCCATAGGCGGGTCCAGGGAGGAAGAAGAGGTTGACGGATCTTTCGCTCTCCCTCCTCCCCGCCCCCTCCTCCCTTTCAGTGGTACAGGCACTAGTGCTACAAAAGTTCGAGTCTAAAGTTAAAACTAAAAAAATCCTTCGACTTGAATTCTGCGGACCGACAGTTTGATTCTAGTGATCGGAAAAATGCACATGCAGGAACAAGAATCTAAACCTGGTTCTGGAAAAGCTGGTTCACAAAGTGAAGTATAATATAATTCCAGAATCTGATGCATCGTTGTTGATAAATTTTGCGGGGCAGTATTCTGCTGGATCTGCTGTTGTGCTTGATTACGCTGAAAATGACAAAATTATAGGTCAAAAGATTCCAAATTTTTCTCTCCGCGAGAGGAGGACACAGGGCAGCTGGAACCATTGTCGTGCAGTTGGTCGGAAGTTCGAATTCATCAGTGAGACAACCAATCCCTCTACGATTCGTTTCGATGGTAAATTAGCACTACCATATGCCAGGAAGTCAAACTCGCCACCGGCTTGCTTATAAGCAATTTTTAGTACGAGGACCAACGAGAGCCTTGCCAGTGGGTGGTTGCTGTTGGTACACGCTACCAATCGAGCTACTTCTGGATGACTGAATCTCCCCGAAAAAGCGAATGGAGGGAATTTGATCTGATACAAGGCGGAAGCACTCCGAATCGGTTCGGATAACAGCACTTTATTCGTAGCATATGAGCCGCTGGCAAAGCTGTTCAGGGCTTCCAAAAAGAGCTGCTTAAAAAGCAAGCTGAAGAATCGTTCTTTTCCAGTCCCACTTTGTGAAAAGCACAACACTTCCTCCGGTAAGAGCTTCTGTGAAACAAATAACAAATGAGGGGGTTCCACAAAGACAGAACTCGAAAAAGGCACATAGAAGTGAAATGCTTTTCAAATGGGATTGCTGGCTCGACAAGAATTTATTTGTTTTCCGTGATGTGTCGGTTCAAGTCTGCAGGAAGATTTCAGAAAAGTTAATTTTATTTCTATACCTGTGATGTATTTTGCGCTGGTGTTCGCAAGTTCACTGCTGGGGTTAGTATGACCGTTCCTGGAGCTGCTCCGGTTAATGCTAAAAATTTCAGAATTTATGAATATTTTTGTCTCAAAAGTGAATTGTTATTCCACAATGAATCTCAAAGGTAAAAAAGAGATTAAAAAAATTAAAAAAGATCAAAAATTAAACAAATTAAAAAAAGAGAAAATTCTCTGTTTTTTGAAAAAATGAAGACACAACAAACACAACACAAATTTTCTTATTCAAAATAGAATTCACTCACATTGTGCTGGAACTTGCGTATATATCACGCCACTGTTAACACAACCATCTAAAAATTCTACTTTTAACCCTAGTATAAGAAATTTTTCAAAAAATTCACGGATAAAAAAATTTTGTAAAACATTTCGGCATCCTTCCACAAAACTCCAACCCAAGTACCTATCTTTTTTTGGTGTAAGGAATGGCAAAAAAGGGTTAGGTTCTGTCGAGATCCGACAAGGTACAAACTCTGGCAGCACCAAACATACCGAGATTATACTGTGAAGTGTTTACCGAGCTAAGCATTGGGCGAAACGAATCACTTCCAGCCTGAACAGTGACTAATGGTGCTGTAAAGTTGAAGTAGTTAAACACGTAAAAAATGCAAGTATACGCTATACAGTGCATAGAGAGTATTTTTGTTACATCAGAGGGAATAAATACTACCCAGTACTGCATATGCTATTAAGATACAACATCGATTTTAAGAAAAAATTTTAAACAGAAACATGAAATTTTTATTTCCAGATGATATGTTATGATCGTAGCCGCGCGATACGATTGAACGGACAATCACCTGTCACACGATCTGCATTTATAAGGCAGAAAGAACCAATGAGATCGGAGTATTGCATCAGAGAAAAAAAAAGGTCGTCAGTGGTGTGCTAAAGCGTCAAAAAAGTAGCAATCGCCAGGGAGAACACCACACCAGCTGTAATGCCGCCAAGAGTCGCCGTGTTTTGTGTCTATATCGGTATGTAAGTACTGAGGACTGCTAGGACTCCTATATCACTGTGTGTACAGAGTTTTTTTTTTTGGACTGAAATACAGTTTTGTTGATTTATCGGGTCTAACAGATAAGAAGGCACTTATCGCGTGGTCTATGTCTAGCAGTGTTAGGAACGAACTGGTAATACTCAATACGCACCAAAAGACATCAAGAAACGGCTGAAGCCTTGCTAAGTGTTTCCACCGGGAGAGAATCATGGTAACGAGGCAAAACGAACACCAGGTTCGTTAACAATTGAACTTCAGGTGATGTAGCACTGTCAGTGAAACTTGAAAAGTTATCAGCTACATGACTGCCTGGGAAATCACAGACTATGTAAAAGTATGAAATTTTCAAAGAGAAGTAAAATTTCGAATGCGCTTTTTTTACTGATTTAAAAAGTAAAAAACTGAGAGGAAGGGGAGAAACCAAAAAAGAGGGAAAACTAACTCAATTTGGTTGGATTTGGAGAGGCGAATGTGATCGGTGTAGCTCGCCCATTACTCGCCGGAGTACTGGGTGCTGTATCAAACGCCAGATTTGATTGGTCGGCTTTCATCAGGATTTTCGATAATTTTTTTCGCTGCGGATGATAAACCAAATGAGGATTTTCCTTCAGTGCCTGCAGTGAAACAGTTATGTAGAGGTAGCCTACTCAAATATAAAAATTCAAATTAACGCAAGATTGGAAAATCTGAATTTGGTAATATTTCACATGTCAAAAGTCAAAACCCTCTCCACGTTTGCTCTTTAGGAAACTTGTAGACATTTGGGGAATAGCCCGTGCGATAGCAACTGACAACAGTAACAAGGCTATCGATGGCTCACTTTTTCAACGGTTGCTTATGAGGTGGGAGGGGACAGTTCCCCCGTTTCCTTCTCCAGCATCCCGTCCTGTGTCTGCCTATTATTACGAGAGAAAGTGAAAACAAGCTGAACACTAAAAAAACAAAAGCAAAAAAAAGGTCGTGTTGACCTAGTATCCCAAAAAACAACATCGTGAGCATTTGGAATCTCGAGGACGTAAACGATAAACACCTTCATGGAGAACATTTCGTAGGCCAGTCATTATTATTCATCTTTTAGTCTTCGTCCCCATATACCTAGTCTGTTTAAAATTATCATGAAGCTTTTTATCATCTCCTAAATCGTACCTGCCTTTCCCTCCTCCAAG